AAGAGTTATGGTAGCTGGCACAGATCTCTAAAGACAGATTTTTGTCCTCATCTAAGAGCTAGAATTAAAATATCAGCTTTTTTTCACTCTTTTGGTAGGAAGCAGAAGTCATACTTGTACTTCTAACATTTCTTCTTCACAAGGCTGTGATTCGGTAATATTCTGTGCAAATCCTGGGGGCTAGCTTGCTTGACATCAGTACAAGAGGATGGTTTCCACCATCCAGACAGGAACAGGCCTAAGGTAATTACAGATGTTACTGAAGGCTGCTCTAAGTGATTAATTTATGGTATCTTTCCTTCTTTTCCTGTGACCTTTGAAGCAACTGTAAGGCTTCTCGCAGTTATTCTTACAGCACTACTACTGCAGCTGCTCTTGGTCCATCTTCTGATACTACAGGCATGGAGGGGAGGTTGCAAAGACAGCACCCAAGCCACTGACTGTGGTATCAGGAACTTATATGGACTGTTTCCCCTATCTGCAGTTTAACCTTTAACCTCAGGTAGTAAATGTAGTTACAAAGCTTAACAGGGAAAGCTGCTAGTCAGTGAGATGCCACCAATGCTAATAATTGTGTGTCTCTCTCAATTTGTGGTAGTTCAACTGCACAGCTCAATAAGAGAAGTCTTAAAGATCAGGATGAACAAAAGGCATGTTTATGACTCTGTCATGGACCAGACATCAGAATTTCTCTGTGTGTAGGTTTCCTGCTTTTCTGGGACCCAGACATATGACACTGTGGAGAGACTTCTGATGCTGTTTTGCCACCAGTGGTGCTGGCAGAGAAACTTTGTGCCCTTGAGGGTAATTACAGGGTGAATGACAGGGAGCCCAGGTGATTATGGTCTCAAACCTGCTGCTTAATGGATAACAAATGGGCAAAAGATGGCATACACTTTGCATCAGCTCCCAGCTTCATAGCTAGCATCCCAAACAGAGCTTTAGCTTCTGTGACCATGGGACACTCTTTGAGAAATGAGGACTGCTGGAGAGTTGAGATCCAACAGACAAGGTGGGAAAAGAGCAACAAGCTCAGTAATCTTATGAGGAGACAAAAACAAGGACTGCTGGCAGATGGACATCAAAGCCTCCAGATTAGCAGGGTGAAGGGAATGGAGAGCATATGCATGGACAGAGCAATGAGGGATGCTCATACACTTCCACTGAGAAAGCAGCACAACTGAAAGCTCACCTGAAATGCCTGTATACACATGAATTAAGTGTTGGAATAACACAGAAGGAATTGAAGTTCATGCTGGCACTGGATAATGGATGATACCACTGCAGTTGCAGACATGATGAGAAAGCTTGCTTGATTGGAGTGCTTTGCTGAATGGATACAGACTCTTTAAGAACAGGCAGCTAAGACAGGGTAGGATTGCTGCAGTCTGCACAAAGAAGTATCTTGAATGGACAGAGATCTCCTAAGTAACGGAAGATTATGGGTTAAGGCCAATAAGGTGGACAAAAATGGCGTGGGAATGGTGGGAATCTGCTACAGGCTGCCCAATGAAGAGGAAATGGACTGGAAAAACACTTATGATTTTTGGTTCTCATGAAGGACTCAGTTATCCCATTATGTTCTAGAATGGCAAGATTGCAGTGTGCAAGTAACCAAGGAGGGATCATGAAGGATAACTTTTTGAAACACGTGTGAAACAGACGAACTAAGGAAAGTGTTTTGCTAGATTTGCTACTCACAAATATGGAAAAATTGGTCAGGAATATGATAGATGGTGTTAGCTGTAGCTGTAATGGCCATGAAATAGCAAAGTTCAGTATCCTAGGAGAAATACGGAAAGTGAGTAGGAGATTAAAGACCTATAACTTCAGGAGAACGGACTTCAGCCTATTCAGGGAATGGGGAGGCAGGATCCCAAGGGAGGCTGCCTTGACAGGCAAGGGCTGCTCAGAAGGACAAAGGAAGCCTTGAAGAGCAAAAGGGGCCCAGAAGAACTGTTTGTTCCTCACAGGCAAAATCCTTAAAGCACAAGATAGAGCGATGGAGGACATGGAGAGGCTGAGTAAGCTGAGGAGTTTTAGTCTGGAGAAAATAAAAACAGTCTTTGTCTCCCTAAATGGAATTACAGAGAAGATAGTTATAGACTCTTCAGAGATGTACACACTGGAAGAATGAGACAAAGTGGTCACAAGCTGCAGCAAGGACAATTTCAGGTGGATATAAGCAAAAAAAAAAAAATATTTTTCACAATCAAGTTCATCAGACTGGGACAAGTGCCAAAATCTGGTGTGGAATATCAATTATGTGAGATTTTTAGAACTTGACTGGATAGTGCTTTCAGCTGCCTAGTGTAACTTTGAAGCCAGGGCTGCTTTGAAAGGGAGGTCAGACTTGATTGCCACAAAAGGCTGTTTCCAAACGATATTTATGCTATGTCACTCAGGATCTCTGTTTAGGCTCCTTCCATAGGTCACTCTAGAAGGAAAGTATATCTGCTTTTACATGAATAAGGTGAATTGTCCCTCTGTGAGTGTTTCTTACTGTTGACAATAGAAGTTTAAGCAGTTGTGCATACAAATCACTTAGCTCTTGGATGATCCCCAATAACTTCTTCAGCTGCTCTCTGAACCCTAAGATGGCACAGCAGACCATTCTACAAGCTTCTTTTTTGTTAGCTACAAAAGGATACAGATACTTCAGTCCAATAACAGGTATTCAAATGGATTAATCTAGGTTTTTTCTTTGAAGATGTAAAAGTAAGTGGGGAAATTATGGATCTTCCTATTTTCTTCTTCCAGACTTCCACAGAACAACCATCTTCTCAAACTTCTTTCCAGAAGCCTACTATTCTCCACAGCATAACAGCTACTTGGACATTGTGGTAAGACAGTAAACTGAGTTGTTGCCCAAGACATCCCACAGGGCATAGCTTTAACTACTGACAATGCAAAGTCTTTATAAGCCCTTCTTATGTCTATATCGTGTCTCCCTCAGTATTATTTTACTTCACGATATAATTAAACCCAGGCCTTGGCTTTTTGGGTATACTGACTTGGGAGAAAAGCTGAGAGAAACTAACTTCTTTTGTATGTTTTTGTGGGTGATCTGAAGCGCTATACAGGATGATAGCTACAGTTACGACCTTCCCCAAGCAGCCCTGCCCTATTTGTGTGACTGGGAGTAGAGGCAGAAGAGCTCAGTGAGGAACAAGGTCCCCTTATTCAAGCCAACACATCTTATTCAAAGAAAATGGCTCCAGGGTCCTGTATTCTGCTGCCACCACTTCCTTTTGGGCAAATCATAGTAGGATTTTGTTTAATATCTCCACTTTCAACATCAATGGTAATAATAAAAATAACACAGCTCTTCTCTGGTTCTCTGACTGAGAACAGTGCTGAAGTTGAAAGATCTATATGGAGAGACAGTAAAAACACAGGATTTCTCTTGAAGAACAGCTGCTCTACAGGGACCAAGGGTGACAGGGGCAAAGAGACAGTTCAAGGGACCTAACTTTCCCCTGCATAAATGAGAGCAGATGGACTGACCCAGAGCAGAGAACACACACTTTGCTTTGCACCTCCGCCCACTGGGGTTCCTGGTGTCTTTCAAGTGTTTTTTTCCCTTCTTAATAGCCTCTGTAACTTTCTAGTGACAGCTGAGGTTTTTCACAGATTAGAAATACAGAAAAAGAGCAGGACTCACAAGGGCTCTTACCCTGCAAAACAGTAACAAAAAGCATTGAAATACCTTAGGATTTCCATCAGACTGTAAATATTTTTTGCATATCTTTTTAAAAGTTGTGAAGGACTAATTCTCAAGGGATCATATACAACTATGGAGTGGAGGAGAGTTTTCAACAAAAATATTATAAAATACTTCCCACACTTTACTGAGGGTCCTTTAAAAGGGAATAATGATCATTAGCTGCGTATGAAGGGCTGTGAGGTGAAGTGGGTAAGCAAGGTCAACAGGTCAGTAACAGGAATAGAAAGAGAGCCCAGGCCTTTTGGTCCTGACATGAGTGGTTCTACCCCATAGCACAATACTGCTCTCATAGGATTGCCTCTCATCAGGCTTTAGACAAAAGAGAACAGTGATTGAGCACTTACTATCATTTACATCCTACACAACTGATCTTTCACACCAGTGTGACATCTTCCCAGACTTTTTAAGGTTAACAGAACAGCATCCCAGAGAGTTGCCCATACCTGCTGAA